GTGAAGAAAGATAAGCTTGCTTTTGGTGTTAAATTATATATAGTAAGATAGACATTTCTATTAATTGAAGACAAGGAAAGAACTGAAAGGACTAACCCTAAGAGGACATGTCTGTAATCAACAAGCCACTTTTAGTTGTTGTACCCACTAAGTTCATATCCTTCAAAAGGCCAGTTTCATTACACTTAATAAAGCAGGCAAGAGTACTCAATGATGTTGGTTTCAGATATCAAGGCTGCATATATATGCAATGTTGATTCCAACTAGTTCATACATCTAAGATTCATAGAAAACCAAGACAGTCTTTTGGTATATACCAAAATATAAGCACGGGTTAAGGGAAGCTGTTAGGAAGTTTAGCTGAGGGTAGGTGAGGTGGCTCAGCAAGTAAACTTATTTGACACCAAGCCTAGCAACCTGAGTTCAACCCAAGAAACCCACATGGTAGAAGGAGAAGCAAGGCCTGCACAGCGTCCTCTGACCTTCAGACATGCAATGTGGCATGATCACCCACACATGTATGTATATGCCATTAAATAAACATAGCATTTTAAATGTATAACAAAAAAGTTCATCACTGCTTTAGAAATTAGACCATTATGAGACCAAGAAAATCAATTCTCTAAGCAAAAATGAACTGTTGAAGTATTACACTATACTTTGCATTCATTAAATAATCAAGTCAGTAATATTTCAGAGGACTATCTTAAGGAAGAAAAACAAGTGTTCTTCAAAATAAAGTTGCTACTTCATGTACAAATTAAATACTTTACATAATTGGTAAATAGGAATAATTGTTTTTAAAACTGTACAATTGTGACACAAAGACCCTACATATAAATTTTAAATATGATAAAACCTTTGCAAGCACAAATGTCAAAAGGTTAATATAGCTGATTTCTAAATGTTTCTGTCAGGAGTATTTTGTTGTTGTTGTTGTTGTTAATAAAAAGTTCTGCTCAGCTGTGCCCTTTTATCTTTATCTTCTTTCTCCACCCAAAGCTCAAGACTCAGAACACTCCTATGAGTCGGAAATCCAGGAGGATCTAGACAACAGTGTCTTCTGGACATGAAAGGAGCAATGCACGCTTCAACTCTCAGGTGTTGTGGCTGCCTGTACAAGAGCTATACAGCATCGAGCCATTCCATTCCAGGATGGAGGACAAAGAGGTCCATGAGGCCCATTTATAAGTGAGGAGTTGTCGGACAACTGATGACTGACTGTTAGAAAAAAGGGAATATTTTAAATCCTTAGTAGCTTGACCATTCTTACTATTCCAATAGATGAGCAACAAAAATTGAATTCAATGAATAACATAAACATTATATGGTTGTTATAAATATAAATATTTTGTGTGTATGTGTTTGTTATAAATATTTTGTGTGTGTGTGTGTGTGTGTGTGTGTGTGTGTATACACATTTTAGGCACTGTATGCATATTTGACAGTCACAGAGAATAAAGAATATATACAAATCTATATTTTAGAATAGCATTAATCAAGTCCAGTAGAGTGAAATTCTAGCAGTCATTGTATCTAGACTAACTACTAGAAGGAGATAGCTGTTTTTAACTGTCTCTAGGATAGATATCAGAATGAGTAGTTGTATTCTAGAAGTTCTTTGACCTTGAAGAAATCATTGCAGAAAACATTCGGTGTTTCTCTACAGCATTGTTCTCTGCTAGAGCTTTACAGCCTTTGCCTGACTCTGCCTTGGCACACCCACAATGCCTTGCACTGTAGAGTACAGAAGCAGACTAAAGAGGCAGGAGCAGACTGGTTGGTTTCCTTCACAAAACATATAGACTAGATGGAGGGCTTTGTATTGAGGAGCTTGTTTTACCCAAAAAACAATATTTGTGTACCAATCAATAAATATGCTTCTGCATGGCTGTTTGAGGGTCAAGTTTTCAAGGCTGGACCTCTCTGCTGCTTTAGACCCTGATTACATTTTGGAAAGACCCTCTTATATTTTTGGTTGTGAGCCTAGCCTTTAACAGCTGAGCCATCTCTCCAGACACTCTTTCTTTGATAGTCCTGTGACTGAACACTGAAAGTTCAGTGTAAACAAACAAACAATGGTGCCGAGAAAAATATCTCTAACTCACTCTTAAAGGCAAGATACACTTCTTCGGTGACTTCAGCTTCAGAAACAAGAGCAGGTTTTGTATTCGAGGTACTATAATATAACCAAGGATTCAGAGAGAAGGAAAGAATCTGTTCTGTATGTTTGAAAAAGAACTTCAGCAATGACTCATCCCTCGAATATTTAACAGCCTCAGCAAAGCAGTGCTTCCATTCTACTTCTGCTAAATAAAACATATGTTTGATTGAACAGATCTATTACCAAGCAGACCTGCCTCAGATTAAACAAGTGATCTGGCCCAGTTACTCATCAACTATCTATAATTACTTCAAATTGTCCACATCCAACTGACCTGCACATACTTTCCTGAATTTATAAGCAATGGCAGCGTCCCCAAAAGAATAGTATATCCTACATTCACTATTTCTTGGATGCTTGTCCTTTTGACTAATCGCATGTGATCATAAAATGTGTTCTCCATAATGTTTAACAGCAATGGGCTGCTTTCTCTTCTTACTCGAATGGTACTCACAATTATAATTTTAAGAAAATTTTACTGTAGTTAGAAGAGCCGTAATCGTACCATTCCAAAGTTTCAGAGGTAATTAATGAACATGTTCAGAGCATGAGAAGAAAGGGCCCTCTGCCATTGCAAGTCAGCAAAGGTGATACTGAAGAGAGCTACCTTCATACAAGCCTCATTACTGGTGGCAAAGGCTAGCAAAAAGCTTTTCTTTTGTCCTTGGTGAAGATTATAGCAGCTCATAGTGTCAATAGGGAAGAAATTCCAAATTGTAAGCAAAAAAAAAAACAAAAAGTAACACTTCATTAGGAACTGATATAACAGCAGGTCTGCTTCCCAAGTCAGAGTTTGTACAACATTAACAGTATATTCAAAAGCACTAGTACTTATTAAAAATCCTATGAAAACAGGCTGGGCTTTTAGTTTCTTTCCAGAGTCTTCTGAGACTCTAGATGTTAACACTAAATCAAATACTTAAATAAATAAATAAATAAATAAATAAATAAATAAATAAAAAGTAAGGCAGTAAAGTACAAATACAACACTCCTCCTGAACAACTATAGAAGAGCTATTAACAGTATTGAAATTTCATACACAACAGATCGTTAACTAATTAGCAAATGCAGTAACTTCCATTTAAAAAGTGGATAAAGCTGCCAAAACTGACAGACAAATGGACAGACATATACAGAATAAATCATGACTTGGAAATACACACAGCACCTCAGGAGGATTTAGAATATCCTTTCATAATCGGACCCAAGTTATCTTTCCAATCTAACTTTTCAGACCTCTCACTGTCCCCAGGAGCTATTCAGAGACTAGCTCTGTAATTTTGCTTACTGCTATTCCCTTCATAGCAAGAGAATGTCCTTCCCTCTGCCTATACAATTCTCAATTGCCACTTGGCCCAGGCTGACTTTCTCTGCAAATTTCCCAAAAATACTGTAATTTGCCGTATTTTCCTTGAAGTTAATTAGGTATCTCAAAAAACTAAAGTAGTTTCTTCCTACTCTGAACTCATAAAAAAACTGAATTATTAAACACTACCTTCTGGCATTGCTTCTGCAATTTTTCAAATATTTGTTTTGAATCATAATAGATATGAACTTGAAGTAGCAACTTTATAGATAAAAATCTATTTATATAAAATTAGCATCCATTTGGAGGAAGTAGTTTGAACTTTCTTAACATATATGGATTGCTGATCAAATCAGCTCATTTAGATTAAAAATCAGACACTGAATCTGACAGTGAAAGACTAAAGACAAAATGACGATGTGGGACTGGCAAGAAATGGCCGGGGACCCTGCAAGTCTCCAGCCATTCCAGATTTCCAAGTCATGATACATTTTGCTAGGCTCCCAGACTCCAGGCTCCTGACGTGTGGTCTAAGACCTCCATTGATCATGTAAGACAATGCCCCTCCACAGGTAGAGGGTGTGACTACAGGCCTCAGCCTCAAGAGATTTCCATATTAATGAGATACCTGAAGGCCAGAAGGCATAACCAACTAAGTATTCTTTCCTAGACCCTCCTCCCTCCCTATTTAACTCAGGTCTGCCCTGAGAGAGGGGGGAAGTACAGCCAGATCCATCTACTTCCCACCATAACAATAAACCTTTAAAACCATGGACTTCCTCATGTCTTTGGGGCCCCCACCATGGGGAACCGTGGAGAAGGCCTTTGACTAATGAGCCACCACTGCTGCCTTCTAATTTCCTGCCAGAAGACTTATCTCAGGCAAGCTAGCTGAGCAAGCGACCCAGCCAAGCAAGTCCCGGTAATAAGTGTCTCAACCCGAGGGGCACTGTCGGGGTTTCCCTCCCCCTCGTTCCTCTCAGCTGCAGGCTAGCCTGTACACCCCCAGTCTCTGTTCTTCCTCAGCTCTCAGAGGCCTCTGGGGGCCCAAAGATGGAGACCATCGGCCTCCAGGTCAGCCGTCAGCCTGGAGACCCTCTATCAGAAGCCTTGCCCTGTGGGACCTCAGACTGAGGTCTCCCTACACCCGGGTAGAGGCCCGCAGCGTCCGCCTGGCGCCACGTGGAGGGAACTCAGTCAAATTCCTGGCTTCTGATCCCCAGAGCCACAGGATTCACAACTCTGTCCAACAGGACCCACACCCACCTACACATGAAAGAACAGGTTCAGTTCTACAAGCACAGCTGATAGAGTGCCATAAACAACAGGAGGATACTGAGGCTGGAAATGGAATGACACACCACTAAGAAACAACCCAGAGCCCCGATGATAAAGCAACTCTGTGACTACCTGAGAAGCACATGAGCTCAGACCACACAGCGATGCAATATGAAAGATGCCCTTTGAGACATCACTCTTTAATATACTCTGAGTAAAACTAAGAACCAAAACAGAACCAAACCTCTTACCATCATCTTCTCAAAAAGTTTCAATACTTCACTCTCTGACAACGACTTTGGATTGTTTTCCATTGTCTCTGCAGAGCAGTCACTGCTTCCAGACACAGTCTTCAGGTGGGGAAGAGGAGTTCTCTCTTTCTTGCTTCCTGGAATTCTTATGCTGGCAAATTTGTCCAGCTATGAAGAAAGATAAAATAACACACAAGTAAATATTTCCTCATACAGCAACTGTTATCTAGTTCTGAAAACGGGGCAAAACTACCGGGCCAATCAATCATATTGCCAACAATGAAGCTTTAAACTTAACAACATTGACCATCAGTGTTAAGAAGGTTCCAGCAGAAAGCCCATGTAAATACAGATGGGAAATCACACAACCTCACGGGATCTCAGGCCTCTGCAATGTGTAGTGCATGATAATTTTGAAGCCTTTATTTCTGTATGATGGTGGATGGCTCACACTCAGGTCATCAAGCTTGTTGGCCAGTGTCTTTACCTACTGAGCCAAGGTCCCTTATTCATGTGACAGTGAAAACAATAGGTATATTTTATAGATTATTATATAAAGTTCAGATCTTATAAAACAAAAATCACAAAATTTTACATGACAGATTCTGGTGCCAGATGACCTGTGCTTTATAGATAAGCGAACTGAACAGTTTCACAAAAGCAAGTCAGTTAGTAGTGATGGCACCAACTGTTACTTCTTGCCCTGCAAGCCTACCCCTGCCCTTCACCAGTGCCCTCAAGCATACTGTCTCCTAGTAGGGGACAAGGAGGTGCACAACAGGTCATGGATTAGGTATTTAAACTTTTAACTGCAATGCTTCTGTAGCTATGTAGACAATTAAATACCTGATAACATCTTTTTTTGTACATGCCAGCCTACACCTGAATTTTGTGGACATCTACAGAACAAGGCCTTACTTAATACAGCTAGACATTGGTTATAACAGGCTGTCTTCCATAACAAGATCAAACAGCTAACTGCTATTTGAAATATATTAATTTTAGTCTAGAAAGCTAATTATCTACTTATTCAAAATTGTTTCTCCTCACAGGAGGGAAAAAACAGATTCCTATTTCAAGACACATAAAACTTTCAAAAAGGACAGAAATCTTAAAGGAGGCTTCAAATGTTTATTGAAAGCATAATCATAAAAATCATATAAATTTTTCATCATTTATATAAATATAAGCCTATTGTTTTCACTATAATAGAGGGCCAAGAAGAATGACCCATTCACTAACATACAAAAATAACAAATGCTTAAAATATATTGATTACAGAAGTACATTACACCCTACAGTAGCAATGGCTACATATGGTTACTGGGTTAAATATTTACTTCATTAGCTGCATACACAAATTTAAGTGCTCACAGGACATATATAGTTAGAGGTTACAACACTTGTAAATCCATATTCACAATATTTCATTATTGTAGAAAGCCCTATTAAAAGACCTAGTAGAAGTATTAAAGATATCTAATACCTAGAAATCTTTATTTTTATAAATAGCATTAAATCATGTTATTATTTAATTCACTAAAGAAATAGGTCAACTAACGATGTAAACGAATGTTTACATACAAAATGCAGGCCTATGAATTATCTACGAAGATAATGTCTAGGGAAAATATAGTGCACTGTACTTACACACAGTCCATTTATCATAAGCTAAACTTCTAAGACTAGTCACAACATAGCACTGCTTGCATCCTAACAAACAAGCCACAAAAGTTGCAAAATGATAGTTGCTGTGTTTTTAATTCATCTGAAAGCTGAAGACACAGGAAAGGAAAAGAAGAGTCACTGGGAGGGGAAAGGAGGCAAGGAAATAAGGGGAATAGGGTCATTATATATGAATTGGGCATATACAAATGTATTTTCCTGTCCATGTGCCTTCAATAATAATTCAGTGTTTTCATTGTATCAAGTATTATTGTAAGTAATAAAAGAGCATATATCTAACCTTAGCAAGTTCCAGGTGAAAGTCTTAAATTTGTTTCATTTCACCAGTACTTCAAAGTTGAATTAAAATATTTCTCAAAACTAGGGAAAACTTGTTATCTGTCTCCCAGCTTCTGTGAATGGAGTTCAACAGTCTATGTATGTCTGTAAGGACAAGCCATGTTCTTTTTTAGCCTTACATGATGGCATATAATTCAAGCCAAATATACTATTAATTAAATGAAATAAGGTTTGGAAGAAATTCCTTTAGAGTAAAACAGATGGTGAGGGCACAAAGAGTGAAATGCCAAGAGGTAAAAGAAGTCCTTTCTTCATGACTCTTAGTTTTAGTTTACAAGAGTGCCCTTACTGTGTGCTCCACCACAGGTCAGGGATAGGCAAATAAACAGCAGTGAGTGTCCACTGAGCTACTGTGCTGCATGGTTGCTGGCTCAGCGATTAGAAAACCAGTAAGCTCTCTCAAAAAACCTAGACATAAAACAAATCTGCTACCAACTCTTCCCTTCAATTCTTTCTTGGCCACATGTACAGTATGTTGAAGGTTAGTACCAGGAAGAGCTAAATGGTATCCTTCCTCGGGCACGGAAGGCTCTCAGGAACTGCAAGCCGTCCTCCTATGATATAGAGCAGAGAAGAACCTAAGTGAAATGTCCACAACACAGCCCACACCTTGAAGAATCCTGACAGCCACTCTCTGAAGGCGAAGAGCAGCAGGTCAGGTCAGTTTCCGGAAGAAGCAGAGAGCAAACGTGAAATAGTTAACAGAAGACAATTCAGCACTAACCCTAAAATCAGACATCAGATTTAAAACAGAGAGCTATTCCAGAGATCTGACACTCACTAGTTCAGTGGCTAAGAAAAACTTGACCGCCATGGATGGACATCTGCTGCAAAGCAAGGTCTGAGTTCAAATCCCCAGAACCCACATGGGAAGCCAGGTGTTGCTTTAGGAACGCCTTCAGCCCCAGCTACTTGAGGTTTTAGGCAAGTGGGGACAAGAGATCATTGGGGCTTGCTGGCCCTAAACATAACTCTAGGTTCAGTTAAAGAGCCAAACCAAAGAAGAAAAGCCTCAAAATGCCTAGCAGGTAAAAAGAGCATACTGCTCTTGCAGAGGACCACATTTAGTTACCAGCATCCATGTCAGGTTACTCACAACCACCTGTAATTCTAGCATCAGAGGATCTGATACCCAGATCTTAATTAGATGTCTATTAAAAATTAGATATCTATAGATGATATCTATACACACACTAAAAAAATAAATACATAAAAAGTAGTCTGTCAGATTTTCAGTGTCACTCAGATCCCAAGTATACAAATCATGTGAAGCCACAGAAGAGCTGAATCCAAACTAAAGAAACAAGGTCCAGATAAGCCCTATTCTCAACAGACGGGCCTCTTACTCCAATCGCCTAGAAGAAGAGACCTTTCTCTTCTGAGGAGAAATTAAATGACACTTTTTGACTTATGAAGGAAAAGTTCTGCCGTACTGAAATGCTCTATAAAAATTCCTTTCATAAGTAGAAGCAAAATAAAGACAATGCAGACAAAAGCTGAGAGAGACTGGCTCCAGAAGACCTACAGGCACTACAAAAACTATTAAGCTTTTCAATCTAAAAGGCAATGGTGTGATGTAGAATTCCAGATCCACAAAAAGATGAACAATGGACAATGTATCCATTAGCTGCTGCTAGGACACACAAGAGGTGGAAAGCAGGTAATTACAAATTACCTTGCCATACAGATATTGAGCAAGGAAAACCATGTATGTAAGGAGAATGCCAGCAAGGAGAATGCATGTACGTAAAACCCTGGCATCTAACTCACCAAATAAATATTATCTATTATAAAAGAAGCAAGAAATAGAACATGTGTTCAGAAGCTCCAGTCCCTGGGTGTCTTAATTGTTCTTTGAAAACAGGCAGGAGATACCAAACTAATTTCCATAAGCCAAGGACTGGTTAGCCTCCCGTCAGTCACTACTGCGGCGCTCTAACCTCTGTACTTGTAGCATCAATGCCCGAGTATAAAAAACGATCTCACCTCTTATCACACACGAAGTGTAATGAACTGTGACACTTATCCTGAAGTGACGTTAAACACAGCATCACTGATGTAGCATCAATATTACAAATGTAAACATGCCAATAAGTGGGGAAAGGGAACTGAACCGAAGCAGTCACAAGATGGGAAATGCACAGCCTACGGCTCCACTGGTGACACAAGAGTTCACAAAATGTTTGTTTCTAACAAAAGCCTGTACTTTTAAAAATAAAAACTCATAAATGTACTGAAACTTGGACGCCCTCTCTCCCCACCATCAATCACTGCCATCACCAGCGTGCTGCCATAAGGTGAGGGTATGGTAGAAGACAGCCATGCCTTTGGCCCATGTTACCACTATGAGCCATGAAGAAGTTCCTGGTCTGGGCTACCACCTGGGGCCATGTTAATGTCAGAGGGCTGCTAAACAGAGTTAACTTGGGTAGGGTGGAATAGCTGGCCGCAACCCCTCACCTGCTGAAGTCTGTATATGGCCTGAGCAGCACACTAGAGATGGCCCTGCTGGCTTGGCCATGGGAGAGCCATCATGAGGGTATGAGGGTAAGAGAGCTAGCTGACTCCATCCCTCGCCAGGGCAGTGCTAGAGAGCTGGCCCTAGTAGCACAGTTGCAGGAGAGCTGGCAGGCTGACCAACTCAGCTACCATCCAGACCCAGATCCAGGGCTTTGAGTTGGCCCACCGCAAAATCCACTCTATCTACGGAGCACATGAAGGGGCCAGACCTGCAGAACCAGAGCTGCAGAATCTCCCTGACACAGGACAACTACAGGATCTCTGAAAAGGAGTCCTGGTGAGGATCCAGTATTAACAGTGTAGCATAACCCAGAGGCCTCTAAGCAGACCAATGACTCAATGCAATGAACATCTGCCAGTAAAGCAGTTTCGGCAAAGGGGTGTATACTGTGTGACACACCATGTCACACCATAGCTTCCACAGCAAAATTCTGGTTTGCTTTTGGTTTAGGTTTTGTTTTCTTTTGTTTTCGGGCAGGGGATTTACAAGGGCAGAGGGCTGATACGGAACGATGGGAAGATGGATAGGAATAGAGTCCATGATGTAAAATTCACAAAAAATCAATAAAAAGATTTTTTAAAAAGTAATAAATCTCACAGGGGTGAGCATTTAGCGACCCCTC